TTATAAAGTTTGTAAAGATGAAGGAGGTAGAATTTTAAAATTGGAAACAACTGTCCATGATAATATGAATATTAATTTATTTTCTATATATGCCCCAAAGGATCCAGCTGAAAGAGTTGACTTTTTTCATTTATTATCGAATGATTTTATTAATGCTTCTCAAAACAATGGAGATCTTTGGAGATTTTAACGAGGTACTTGATAAGCATAAGGATAGGGGAAAGGGGATGCTCACAGTGGGATACAGTAATGCCGCCTTTAACAATTTTGTTTTTGAAAATCTTTTGTCAGATATTTATTGTGTACAAAACTCCAATATTTTACAATTTACCCGTTCTCAATATAGAAACTCCTCTTTAAAATTAAGTAGAATAGATTATATTTTGTTATAAATCTCTTCTAATATATTGCCAGCATTCTTTTATTCAAACATCGAGTCGATCAGATCATAATTTGATCGTTCGTGGGTCTTAAATAACAGGTTACTCAAAGATCCAGAATATAATAAAATTATACGATCTGTTGTAGACAACCAATTAAATGATAATCTGATTAATGATAAACCACTTATATGGTGGGATAGTCTAAAATATATTCTCAAAAGTAAATCTATCATTTATTCTCGTAAAAAGAGCTAAGAAGAAAAAGACAAACACTGGCAGTTAACAAATGCGCTCTTAAAAGAGCAAGAACAAGCCTCTAAAGGTGGTAATTTTGACGCCTGTCGTATTCAAGACCTAGAAAATAAGATTGAAAAATTTGAAATTGAAAAATGTCAAGGTGCCATACTACGGCAATCCTGCCGATCGATGGAGCGTGCAGGGTATGCATGAGCGGGATGCGGTAGACCCTGCATTCACTGTAACTCATCTAGAGTTGGACAGTAGTGTACCGCGGATCCGCTGGTGATCGATGGAGCGTGCAGGGTATGCATGAGCGGGGATGCGGTAGACTCTGCATTCGCTCTAACTCATCTAGAGTTGGAAAGTAGTGTACCGCGGATCCGCTGGTAATCGATGGAGCATGACGGGTTCGTATGAGCAAGGAGACCGTGGATACTCGTGAATTCGATGAACATGGAGGCCAATAACAACGATAAAAAGTATTTCTACGTTTATTCCAACACTAACAAAGCATGAATGATGGTAATGAGGCTGGTTAGTAGCTTACATTATGCGTTTGTCGCACGAGGAAGGTGCACAGTCTAGGGAGGAGCTTGAGGCTAAGAATAGTAGGGATATACCTACAAATCATATCTTTTCCCTATATATGGCAGAGGAAGTTGGATCGTGGCGATGTGTCTGGACGATAGGAGCGGGGATGAGGATGTCCTGAATTCGCTCTAACTCATCTAGAGCTGGACAGTAGTGGATGGAGCGTGAAGGGTCTGCATGAGCTGGGATGAGGATGACCCTGCATTCGCTTTAACTGGTCTAGAGCTGGGCAGTAATTGACCCGCTGGTGATTGTTGGTGCAGGACGGGCTTGAATGAGCAGGAAAAGGGGAATCCATGGAATCGGTCGATATTTGTCATAAGATAGATCTCTTGGTCGCACCGCTTCGTAGTGAAAGGCAGCACTTACGGGAGGAACCACGGGAAGGTGAACCTATTTCTCCTCCCATGGCATTATTACCACTAGGACTCCCCAACCAGTCAGGAGGGTGAGGATCTCTTTGGGATGATCCCGCCTAATGGCTTCCCTACAACCTAATGACTATTAATGCTACTACTTAAACCTACTCGCAGCTGCTGGATCGCCCCGATCAGAGTGATAAGGTTAGGAAAATCCAGCCCAGCAGCCAAGGGACCATGTCGTTATTACCACTAGGACTCCCCAACCAGTCAGGAGGGTAAGGATCCCTATGGGATGATACCGCCTAATGGCTTCCCTACAGCTTACTCACTATTAGTTGAAGGAAGGAGAAGGAACGTAGACGATTAAAGTGAAGCATCTATGCCAGGAAAGGGGGCACGTGCAATAGAGGTAGAAGCCTCTGTGCCAGGAGAGGATGCACGTGCAATAGAGGGAGAAGCCTCTGTGCCAGGAGAAGGGGTGCGTGCAATAGAGAGAGAAGCCTCTGTGCCAGGAGAGGGGGCACGTGCAATAGAGGGAGAAGCCTCTGTGCCAGGAGAAGGGGCGCGTGCAAAAGAGGGAGACGCCTCTTTGCCAGGAGAGGATGCACGTGCAATAGAGGGAGAAGCCTCTGTGCCAGGAGAGGTGGCACGTGCAATAGAGAGAGAATCCTTCCGGAACACACGAGAAAACTTGATATGCTGATTTTGCCGCTGAACTGTAATGATATGAGTTGTTGTTTTTAAAAGTTCGGTGTATAGATGTTTTGAAGTGATGTTCTGCTGCCAGTCGATTTTGAGTTTTCTGTCAGTGTTGAACTCTCTGAGAGTGAGACCCATCCAATAGAAGAACAAGGATTTCCAGGGATATGGACCACTTTACCAACTGGAGTCTGAGATCGATGTTACATACCCCTTTCTCCAACGGAAGATAAAGGGTGTCTCGGGCTATCCTCTCATTTCCTCCATCTCAGATGAAGGAGAGGATAGTCCGATTCAGCTCCTTTATTATGCGTTTGTCGGGTTTGACTATTTGACTATATTTAAATATATGAAGATTATCTACATCAGTCTCTTCAAAGGGAAGTTTGGATCGTATAAGGACTCCCCTATTGACTCGGCCTTCAGGTGAATTGAGTTTTGTATTGATCTTCTCGAGTTCGTTATTATATTGTTCTCTATATGTAATGTTTTCTATGTCGACGTGAACAAACGATTTCAGCAGATTTCCAAATTAACCAAGGATGTTCACCATCTGAATACGTTTGGTGACCAACGCCACACCCACCCTGGCCTATGTGTTGTGTTCGGACGGGGTCCATCTGAACCAACTAGGCCAGGGATCTTTACTCTGGGCACTGACCCGAATATTGCCTTGACATCTATGTTGTCGTGAATTGTTCAATAAAATTGTATTATTCCTAACGGTGTCTTGCATCAGTGCAATCAATTCCCCGTCTCTGAAACGGCGAAACGGTACTGGGTGCCAGCCCTGGTGTGTTGGGCCTCGTCAGGTCGATTGGGCCTATGCAATTAGCCTGGAATTAGCCTGGCTTAGTCCAATTCCCCATAGACTCTCCATGTTACCAGAGTTGGACACGCAAGGGCAGACGGAAAGTCGTCAGAAATTCGCTATAACCATGGGTTACACTCATAAGAATCTTAACTAAAGGTACGTTACTATGTTTTTCAATACTACAGACAACAATTAAATCATTATCATGCAGAGGTTATATCTATAAGTTGTTTGCTCTCTCTTATTACCTACCTGACATTATGATTACAATACGAACATTAAACTGAAAAGTTTATTTCAAATGTAAAATCATCCAAGTGTAGAATAAACTGTTTCATGTCATGTCACGAATTTTTTTATTCACTGATTACTTTGGTCGTGTGAACGGCTCAAATTGGAAACTGACAGATTCAGAAGAGGATTGGTGTATGTTTGATGTATTAAGACTATTCTATACTGGTAAATGTGAAATATAACAATTAAATTGTCTCTTAGTATAACTAAGATTCATAATATTTCATATTCGCATAAACATGTGTGTTAGCTACGGGCAAGGATAGGTATTAGGGGGTGAGAACTAACACCGGGCCAACTCTAGGAAGCACTGGCACGGACAGGATAGGTTTGGCAGATAAAATTCACCGATGAAATATTGGAATCCTTGACATGTCAAGCTATTACAAACTTCGTCTTATACCTTGACTGCAATAGTCACTTTCTTGTATCACATCTTCACAATGTCAAGCTATTACAAACTTCGTCTTATACCTTGACTGCAATAGTCACCTCTCTTGTACCACATCTCCACAATGTCAAGCTATTACAAACTTCGTCTGATACCTTGATTGCAATAGTCGCCTTTATTGTACCACATCTTCACAATGTCAGGCTATTACAAACTTCGTCTTATACCTTGACTGCAATAGTCACCTCTCTTGTACCACATCTCCACAATGTCAAGCTATTACAAACTTCGTCTGATACCTTGATTGCAATAGTCGCCTTTATTGTACCACATCTTCACAATGTCAGGCTATTACAAACCTCGTATAATACCTTGACTGCAATAGTCACCTTTATTGTATCACATCTTCACAATGTCAAACTATTACAAACTTCGTCTTATACCTTGACTTCAGTAGCTGAGGCACCAATTAGAGGCCCGACAGAAAGGCTGTAAACTATGGCTGGCACATGAGGGGTTTGGCATGATTTTATCACCATCAGTTTCAAAAATGCCTGGTGCTTTTGCTGAAAATGGTGACAGTGTACGATAACATCGGCATCCACATGTACAATCCATATCAGAACGATATCAAATGTTTTTCACCAGTTTGTTAAAGGGACATTCCCCATAATTTACGATTAGTGACGTCATCAAACACTTA